TGTTTCTAGTAGCTTCTTGTTACTACTAGTAAGGCACTTGTTACTAGAAGCGATGCACTTGTTCCTAGTAGCTTATTGTTTCGACAAGAACATGAAAGCTGCCATGTGGACATTTGTAGGGCTCTCCAGGCACTCCCTGTGGTGCAAACATGGAAGTATAGCACTTAGAGGAAGTCGTTCTCTTGCGGAGGCCATCTTCCACCCAAACCATGTCAATCTTAATTCAATAAACACTATCTTCCATCAAACATACACAACATTTTGCGGAGGCTATCTTCCCCCCAACTCAAGGAGCCCGCACGGATGTAAGCGCAGTCCCTTCCGCACCGGCCTCTTTTCGCTTGGTCTTCATCGAGGCGATCCGCCCGCGGTGGATCTGCCCCGCCCGAGGCCGCGACCACGAGGTCTTTGGCGCTTGGCCATCGTGGCTCAACTGGACTCTTCATCGCGGCTCCTCCCGTTCTTCGCGCGTTCCTTGGAGAAGGCTTCGTCCATCGCTTCTCCGACGAAGAAAACAGGCCGAAGATGTTCAGGGCGAAGGCGTTCGGAGACCTGCTGGTCTTTTGGCAAGAGAGCTTCCAACTGTGCCCAGTTTCTGTCTTTTATAATATAGTGGATTGAAACCAGCCACAACAGGCAGACATGTTGTATCCCCTTTTGCGCATTGGTTGCGCACCTGATTCCCCAACGGTTGGCTTCCGTTTCGCCGTCGCCAATCCAAGGAGGAACTTCCCAAGATGGTGTGACACCGCGAAGCGGAGCAGAAAAGTCACGAAACGAAACGGTCGGCCGCGGCATTTGGGCGCCGCCGGGGTGGATTTGGCCGGTGAAGTATAGCCATTGGCCTAAGAGTGATGGTCTCCAACCTAGTAATGAATAACGTCCTTGCTACTAGTAGTATGGCCAGGAGCGCAACGTTCGTAGCGTCCGATCGCTCCGTTCGTAGCGATGCCCGCTCCGTTCGTAGCGATGCCCGCTCCGTTCGTAGCGATGCCCTTTATTAAATAGCGATGGCCTCCAACCAAATAGCCATGGCCTCGACTCGGATGGTCAACGATCCTTATTCCGAACCGCACGAAGACACGAGAACGTGTCTCGGTGTTCCTTCGGTCACCTCGTGCTTGTTGGTCGGTTTAGCGAGTTGTAGGCATTCTAGAGCCGGTTAAATGTTCGGTTCTTTCCCCGACCCACCAGGAACTTTCGGAAGACTTCGTGCATCAAGTATTTGGTTGGGATGCCTCATTTTGCCTTAAAGACCAGCACAAACACTGCTTTTCACCCCTGATTCACTGCCGAAGTCCAGTTCCACGATTCTGGGCACCGAACTCGTCGACGGTCTTTTGGTCTCATCGGGTCAGGGACTTCGGACAGGGACGATGGGACTTGTGGGGCACCGGGGCACTTCTTCACACCTTCCACTCCTCCTTCAGAGGATTCCAATGCACCATTTTTACTAAGGATTCTACACTGCAACACTCAGGTCCAACCACTTTTAGAATGGTCAAATGGAAGGCCTAAGGGTTCCAAACCTCACACCAGTGCCCTTGTCGGTCGTTCAAAGCGGCAGCATGGACGACCCGCGCCTCAGGGGCGACATCAAATCGGCCAGTCGATGTACGACCCTGAGCTTTCGAAGGAAGTGCGGGAGGAGTGCGTTGTTTCTACGCAGGAGCAAGGATGCTACTAGTAGCAAAGGGCATCGCTACGTTCGGAGCGATCGGACGCTATTAGGGGCTCCTGGCCTTACTACGAACGGAGCGATAGGACGCTACTAGTGGATCACCTGCACATCACCGAACTTTGAAGGCCTAGATGGCCTGAGCTACGGCCTTGCTTGGTTTTATGGGAAGAGGAGAGCCCCAGTCGTAGGAGTCAGCTTCGGCTCCAGGCCACACTCATGTATAGACAAGCAGTCTCGTTTTCTGCTCTTTTGGTAGACATGTATCTACCTGGATGTTGAGATGTTGGCCCTTCTCTGTTGATGGATGTTCGGGCGAGCCTGCTTTTCCGAGTCTGTAGCACTTTGTGAACCTCGAAGTGCAGATTTCGTGGCAGGTGCAGCACTTTGTGCTCTCAGATGCTCACTCTCACTCTACTCTGACTCTCTCTCTCACTCACACTCTCACCCACCCACTCCTCTAACTCACGCTCTCACTCTCTCACTCACTTCTCCCATGCTTTTCGCCGCAAGGGCCGCCCTGCTAGGCCTGCTTTAGGGCGGTTGGCACCGACCCACCGTCCCACCGGACGCTCCGAATCCGCCCGCCGCGTCCGCCCGCGTCCGCCCGCGTCCGCCGCTCCCGCAGCGAGGTGCCGATCTCATGGAGTCCTTCGGCCTCAAGGTGCAAAGGCCCCCGGCCGGGCACAGGGGGCTATTAGGAGCAAAGGACGCTACTAAGAGCGGGCATGTTCGCCCGGTGTGGAAACAGCGGTGTTGGCCACGGTGCCACGGTGCGCCGTAGTTCGGAGGGGGGGCCGGCTTGTGCTCCACTTTGAAGCTTCACCAGCTGGCACTCGGTGAATTGTGAGGAATGCAAGAATCCGTTGTCTGAAGGCAGTCTCGCTGCGGATGGAAGATCATCCAGGTCAGCGCTCCCCTCGAATCCAACGGACGAAGAAAGCAAAAGTGGAGAACAAAATAAGAAACTCCTGCCAGCACCACCTTGTTCGAGTGGTTTATAGACCCCTAGGATGTACTTTACCATCATACCATCTAATAACATCCATAACCATCAGATTTGGGTGGTGCTGGTGTCAGGCGTGGTTCGTTTCTATAGCAGCGTGTGTGTGCGTGTTGATCCCAAGTCTTCCGAGATCCTAAGGGTCTCTTGCGAGTTGATTTCTGGCCATGACATGGTGCCATGACATGAATCTGTAGGGTACATCAGACACGGCCCTTCAAAAGGTTCATGCCATTCAAGTTTGGGAGTCCCTGTAGCTTAAAGTGCAACCCCAGATCATCCAGGACTGGAAGAGTTGCATGGATAGGTCGTTTTTCATGGTATTGATGGTACGTTTTAACTCTTCCAGTCCCATTCGTCTGGTCTGGGTGCACCAAACATTCACCCCCCCCTTCGACCGTTTCACTCTTCCCGGGCAGGGCCGAATATTTGCAGCTCCTAAAGGCTGACGGTCGCTGTGTTGGGAGGGAAGCTGCGGACTAAAAGCAGCAGAGTATGGCGGGAGTCATCATTTGAATCATTTCCAGGTGACTCAGAGCTTACTTGACCGGGGCAGAAGAAGTTCTTTTCTTGAAAGAACGAGGTGGAGCGACGATGGACCTGCGTTGGGCCTGGCGTTCTTTCAATCAGCTCGGGTCCACTCTTGATTCAAAAAGAAAGCCCGTGATGAGGGCTTCGTTCGCTGAAACCTTTTCCATTTGAGAGTTTAGATTGTTGGGTGTATTCTTGGTATGAACCAAAAGGGATAGGCCATAGCTATTCGGTTGGAGGCCATTGCTATTAGGTTCTTTTGTAGCTTCTTGTTCCGTTCGTAGCTATTTGTTCCTATAGTAGCGATGCCCTTGTTCCTAGTAGCTTCTTGCTCCTAGTAAGGTCAGGAGCTACCAGGCTTTGCGAGATAACTTCCAGCTGCCACCTCAACGGGCGAGGCCTGCGCGAAGTCCTCCGAAGGCCTCGACGAGCGGCGCAAGCAGCGAACGGAGGATTTCCTGAGGCTCTTTCAGATGGGACGTGAGAAGGGCGGGCCATTCGGATGTCACTCCGAGGACCACATGGAACTCCAAAACCATCGGGTTGGTATGAGGAAAAGGGTCGAAACCACCGGTCGATTCTCAGGTTCCGTGGGATCGTAGGATGGGGTGTTCAAAAAAGATGTGAATAGCATTGCAAAGCTCTTCTTTCATCCGTGACATCGGCTGACTGGCTTAAAACGGCAGGCAGCCATTCCAAGGAACATCCTCGGACTCTTCCGTGCTGTGCCAAGGGATGTTAAAGGTACATCGGGTGATGTGGAGGGGGTTGTTTACTAGAGCCTCACGCTCACACGGGTCAATTGTGATGATGCAAAAGCCTGTTTGGACAGGACGGATCAGAAAATCAACGAACCGGTGCACAGACAAGAAGTGCTTGGTCAAATTAGCAGACGTGTGAAGAAATTATTGGAATGCAAGGAAGTGAAATGACATGCATGGATGAACTATGATGAACTAGGAGCAAGGACGCTATTAGTAGCTCCTGGCCTTACTACTAGTGGCCAGAAGCTACTAGGAGCAAAGGGCATCGTTACTAGGAGCAAGGACGCTACTAGTGGAGGGGAAGGCAATCGCTGTTTCATTCGCAGGCAGATGGTTTCAGATGGCCGACCACTCAGCTGCTCCCCAGTGAGTCGACTGCCCCATTTACAGCAGGTCTTGAGCTGAAAGCTATAGGAGTTTTTACTTCTCTCTTGTCTCCTCACTGGTCTCCCCATATTTTAGAGTGATATAAGTTGCTATTAGGATCTATTTGGGGTCTATGCTGGCGTATTGCAATTTCTTGTTCAATCAGCTAGCATCAGCTGCCCGGGGGTGAGAAACTCAGCTCATTCTGAAAGCCTTCGACGACTTGGTGTGTTTACGGGGTGGTCAAACTGTTCGGAAGGTCCAACCGTTCGGGTGGAGGAACAAAGGGCATCGCTACGAACGGAACAAGGACGCTACGAACGGGGCGCGCTCCTGGTTCGGTTGCACATGTTGCTTGCTCCCGCTCCAACAATCATGGAAGTGAACGTTCTGGCCCCGAGAGGAAGACTATGTTCCTCCACCAAGAGGGGGTTGTCCACTTCCATGATTGTTGGGGGGGGAGGGTGATTATTAACTTGTGTGTTAAGCTTTGTTGCTCACTTTGCAATTTCACCGGCGCACAAGCTGCTTGTGAAGGTATCTGAAGTCTCAGGTGGCTCAAGAGTCTTTCCCTGGACCGCACGGTGAAACATGACACTGACTTCGGGCGGTGCTGTCGGTCCCTGTTTTGTTCAGAAGGCATTCATCAACCTTCTCCTGTCATGCCCGGCCGAAACCTCCAAGGTTACTTTCCGGACGCAAGCACGCTGAAGCTGTTGGAGCCTCTCCTGGGCAGGCGAAAGAACAAGTTGCTCCGAGAAAGACAGGAGGCCCATAGTATGAGTAACGTTCAGATTCTTACTTAGATCTTCTTCATGATTTCAAGGAACTGGGGGCAAAGACCACCAGGAGGCCCGGTGAAGATCAGGAAGTCATGCCGAGAAAGATGCTGCTCCCACAGTGCTGAATCCAACATTGGTATCTGCCCAAAGGTATGGCCGCTACGGACGTTTTGTTGCTAGTAGCGATGGCCTCCACCTAGTAGCTGCCCAAATAAGGTGGCTACAGATTCAAGTCAACACCTCCCAGGTCACGTGGCGATGTTCTAAGTGCATGCTCCAAGCGAGTACGGGTAGCTGCAACGTATTCGGCCAAGTACCCAGGGATCTTAGTCCAAGCACGACGGCAAACTGAACCTGCTCCCAAGGGGAGAAAAAACCGATTCCAGACCTACTAGCTTCTTGCTACTAGTAGAAATTGAAATGCCCTTGTTACTAGTAGCTTCTTGCTACTAGTAATGCACAAGAACAGATGTTTGTCATTTCTTCGGTTTTTTAGGTACCCGAACCGCACCAGAAAGGTGCGTGCCGCGGCACGATGCCACGCGGTCGCACGCGTGACGCCGCGCGTGGATGCATTGCCTGTTGAGGCGTTGCCATGAGATTTGTGCCAGAGGCGTATCTCCGGAGTAACAAGGGACGCTACGAACGGGGCTCCTGGCATCGCTACTAGGAGCTAGGACGCTACTAGTAACAAAGGGCATCGAAACGACCGGAGCGATCGGACGCTACTAGGGGAGCT